AGACTCCCCATTTTCCAAGAGCCGGCTTTATTCCAAATGGTTCATTTCTTGAAAAGGATTTGGTTCACATGGTGACATTTTTGTTCTGTATATTTAGACAGTTATATCTGTTTTCTTTTAAATGGGATTGCTGTGTGTTACTAAAAGCGGTTCAAACATATGGAACAATTTTTTGATTACTGGTGGTGACTTTTTTTTGATAGGCCTGATTAAAAAAAAAAAAAAAATTCCCAGAATGCAGTATTTCTCAAAAAGAATTCTTTGTGTGGCAGTTGTGAAACTTCTCAGCTATTTTCAGAGCTGGTCTAAGGAGCTAAGGTGTTTAGGTTATATTTTTTTAAGGCCCCTTGTGCCACATGCTTAGGAAGTTAGACTTCCTGGGGAGTGTTCAAAGCTGAACAGATTCTAGACAGGCCACAGTCTTTTGAACGTCCTCATCTTGCTGTACTGGGTTCCCCACATGTGTGTTGTGGTTTGTACCTGTTGGCATTAGTTGCAACCAAAATTCATAATTGCAGGCTGTACCTAGTGTTTTTAAAATACGCACTATATGCACTGTGTACATTTTTCTAGCAAAACGTGTTACCTTGTCTAGTGTTGTCTAATTTTGAATCCTCATCTATTTCAAAGAAATAAATGGCATCCGTGAACACTGTCAGGTCTTGCATGTTTTATAAGTATATGTTAGTCCCCTTGTGACAGATTAGATTGTGAGGCAATTTGATACGGAATTAAAGAAAATTTTTTTAATTATATAAAATTTTTAAAAATACATGAATTATGTTTGTTCTTGGAACATACTTAAGAAACTCACTTTTAAAAGTACTATTCAGCTACAAGTTGACTTTTCTATTCTCATTGTACTGTGTTGTTCTAGACTCTTCTATCAACAGAAATTTTGCTGCTTTTGTTATTATTAACAATACTTTCCCTGTTTTCTGTTTCCAGTTTTTATTTTTGCTTTAAACTATATATGAAAGGCATTAATGGAATCAATAAGGATGTTGTTGGTCTCTGATTTCTAGTGTTCAGCAGTGCAGAAGTTAGCATTGTGCCTGATTTCCCGCCTCATGTTTATTCTTATTGATGCAGTGGGAGAGGGTGCCTGTTGCACATACCCGCAGTGTTTACAAGAGTTCTTGTAATCTTTTACCTTGGCAGTATGCGTTTATGATGCACAGTTTATTTTAGGATATGAAGCAAAATGCTTAGTCATGAGCAGTTTATGAAGAATAACAAACCTATAAGCAAATTTTTCATGCGAAAATATGAAGCATGTTCTGCCAAACAAAGGCCATCTCCAATTGTAGTCATGGTAGCCATGTTTCCTGATGAGTGGTTTTAGTGAGAAATTTTGCAATGTGAAATATTGCACATCCATCTTTAGCGTCACTGGTGTATTATTATTATTATTTTATTATTTTTTTTTCTGTAGGATTGCAGAATTAGAAAGTACCTAGACTTCTTCAGAACATACTAGATGTGATCTATACTACTTCTACCCACTTAAGAGATAGCCTGTGGAAGCTGATTTGCTAACTGCTCCCAGGATCTTGCTCCAGTGTGCAAATGCAGTCAGGAAATTCTAAGGAATTTAATAGCATAAAAACTTTGCTTTCAGTCACATTGAAGAATGGAAGGCATGCTGCTTAGTCAGCATTCCACCTAGCTAAAAACAAAATATTTGCCAACCAGCATTCTCTTTTCTGAAACCCCGCCGCCACCTAGCTTCCTTAGTGCTGCATAGTAGATACTCTTTAGAAAGGCAATACATTAATTAAAAAGGATCCTTTAAAAACAAAAAAACAACAACAAAAAAAAACTAAGTGGTCTGCAAGAGTTCAGGTTGTTGCAGCATTGACATTCATTCCTACGTGAATATTAAGGTCTGAAGATGTTCTCATGAATTTGGCAGCACACTGCAGAAACCAGTGAAGCCACCTAAAAGAGCTGTTAGTTTTGAGACTCTCTTACTGTTTGGAGCAGAAATACTGATGCTTTTGTAGCAAAAACGTGCACAGTTCTCCAGAATTTACAGTTGTGCATCAAGAGAGATTGAGTAGGTTGCAGCTTTATGTGTATTTCAAACAGCGTTTTTATGTTCCAGCACAGTGAGACTATAATTCAGAAATCTGACGTAGAGTATTGACCTTAGTTACTAGGCTAAATATTTGTTAGAGTGTATTAGAAATGCTTATTTCTTTGACTTTCTCATTCGTTGGTGTTTTCTAACAAGGGAGCGGGTTGTTTACCTTAGCAAAATAACGGTAGGTTTCTTACACCAGGGCTGCTTGGCTGAAATTTCCAGAGCTCTTTAACCACATCTGTTCCTTTTGTTTGACAATCTGGGTGAAATCATTGTCTATCAGATAGATGCCTGTAGATCCTGTTAGGCAGTTTTGCCCAGGCCAGGTGATATTTTTGTGTGATGTTATGGCTGCTGGAAACTTAAGCAGTGGTGGTTACGTACCTCATGTTTCATGTTCCATCAGATTTTGACCTTTATACATCACTTTACTCACTGTCTTAAGTTTTCTCATTTTCTAGGTGCTTATTTTCTAGATAATAGATAATTTCTGCCTTTTACTCTCAGACCTTTGTATCCTGCCACCCTTTATCCTCATCCTCTAGAGAGTCTCACAGTTCTTGATGGTCTGCCTTGATGCAGCAGAATTGGCTTAGTATAGGAACACACTTCCAAGTGATTCTGTTGATCACGGAAGCCTGTGCCTGCTCTTCTTTGTGGTGATTTTGTGTGTTACCTTGTTTAGCAATTTTTATCCTTCAGAGGCAAAAAAGACTTTCAGCCTAGCTCCGTTTGAATTATTACCCAAATCAGAATGGGTGGAGTGTGAATTCATGGATTTGGGGAAGTTTATAATGTACCAAATGAGAATGCAGGAACGTGGCTGGTGGAGGTCTGTGGACTGTCATGGGGTACCAGATTTGGAAGAGACCTAAACCATTGTGTCACTTAATGTGGACTAACTGCTGGAGTGTCATCACCTGGGTCATTCTTGAGTGAGGTACCCATCTGGGTGTGTGTTCTCTTTCCTCTGTAGCCTGGGTTATTTTAGCCTCACTGACCCTCCTCGTCTTTCAGAATGGAGTATCAGAGAAACACTTCGTGCCTATAGCTGCCTGTCAGGTTAGGTAGGTTGGAGGCCTTGAATCTGTCTTCTTGTGCTTCTTCTGGGCTGTAGAATTAGCGAGAAAGAAAGTATTAACTTAGTTTGTCATTTGGCTTAGGGTCAACATTTGTTTATTCAGCATAAGGTTTGACGAGGCTTGGGTTCTCTAAAGTTGATTAGGTAAGAAATCTTCAGGTTTTTGTGTGCATGTCAAAGTAGCTGATAGTCGCCTACTATTCCTGTCCTGTTAACAGAGCTATAAATTACACGGTCAAATATAAATTTATTTTTACATTAATAATATAGAATAAAGTCAATCGCTTTAAATCCGGAGGGTCTGAAGGGCTACAGTATCTTGATTAAATTAAATTTGGGAATGCATAGTCTAAGATTTAGAACAGGAAGTAAGTAGAGTTCTGTGGATCCCTTTGGCGTTTGCTGTATCTCAGGAATCCTTATTAGTGTTAGTTTTCAGTTGTGCTATGGATGTGGGCTGTAGTGAGGACAGGATAGTATCTGGGAACTTCTTCATAGTCTTGGTTTATTTTCTAATGAAGGAAAGTATAGCGTGTAAATGAGGGAATAAGGTTCTTTTTTTTTTTTTTTCTTCTTCTAAATTAAGCTTTAGAATTGCTTGGATTTTAAATGAATACCCAAACTTTGGGAAGAGCTTCAATTAGGGAAAGGTTGTTTTACAACGAGATTTTATAAAAATTATTTAATAAATTTATTTTTCAATAAATTTTTCATCTTAAAGTTGACATCTTAATAGTTGACTCTTAGACATCGTTTTGATTAGCCATCTGAGATTCTTAAAACTGTGTTTTCTACTTCTGATTGATGATCAAGTAGAAATAAAGTTTTTCTGAAATGACACGGCCACTCGCTTTTCAAAAGTTTGATTTATCAGCGGCTTTCTAGAAACGTGGCCATTATTTGTGGTACTTGGTGTCAGTAGGGTTTTCCAAACTATGTAATGTGATAATCGTGTTGAATAATACCAGCATTCATTGAGAATTGTTCTGCCATTTTTTATACTATTCAAAAGTACGGTGTTTTAGGTATTGCAAAATAAAATAACTCTCAGAGCAATAGCTGATTAAACAATCAAAGTACATCTGATATTTTATATAAATTCACTGTTAAAAATGACCTGATGTATTGGATTGGGGTTTATTTTTAAACTACAAAATGGTTTGCTCTAAACAATTCATTGGGTGTATGGGAGGAACAACATTTACAACATTTGGGGAACTTTCCCTGAAGGCTCCCCATATCTTAAAAAGAAAAATTGGGTCTGATTGGAACCTTTGCAGAAAGGTTTTTTATCTTTCATAAAAGTCCCTTAAACACAATTGAAAAACAAAATTGTGGGCGTGAGGAGCTGAGTGCTTGTTTTAAATTAAATGATGGAAAATGTAAAGATTTAAATTTTCAGGTTGGGAACGTTTAGTGGATTCTTGGTAAATAAACTGTGTGTATTTTTATTTGCTTAATGTTGAGATCTGTATTTGATTTGCTTAATAGCACATCGAGGAATAAACTTTGTGTGATTTGTGTGGAGTGCCTCATTTAGAGAAGTATTGTTTTCTGTTTGCTTCTTGTCTGAACCTTTTAGTAGTACTCCAGACTTTAACCTGCCTTTGAGTTCTTGAAGGCAGAGAAGTAGTAGTCATTTTATGCCTGCTCTGGAATGCTTTATAGACACAGATAAAAATCTGGCGGTTGTTCACTGGCTGTTCTTCAGGCCAGTGTTATTTCATGCTCCCTGAGCCTTCTAAAATGATCAGCGTGGCCCAGGATTCTGTGTCTTATACCTTTACAATCTGAGTCTGTTTGCTTTCAGGGGTGCGCAGACTGGTGCCTAAGATGGAAGTAGATGTTAATGGAGAGTCCAGAAGTACCCTGGCCACCCTGTCCTTGCCTGTGGCGGAGGCGAGCTCCCCAGGAAAGGCAGAAGCAGAGAAGCCGCGCTGTTCCAGCACGCCGTGCTCGCCGATGCGCCGGACTGTGTCGGGCTACCAGATCCTGCACATGGACTCTAACTATCTGGTGGGCTTCACAACTGGTGAGGAACTCCTGAAGTTAGCCCAGAAGTGCACAGGAGGTGAAGAGAGTAAGGGAGAAGCTGTGCCTTCCATGCGCTCCAAGCAGCTGGATGCAGGACTTGCACGTTCCTCTCGTTTGTATAAAACCAGAAGTAGGTACTACCAGCCATACGAGATTCCGGCGGTCAATGGCAGGAGGCGAAGGCGGATGCCCAGCTCGGGAGACAAGTGCACTAAATCTTTACCTTATGAACCTTACAAGGCCCTCCATGGGCCCCTGCCTCTTTGTCTTCTTAAAGGTAAGAGGGCTCACTCCAAATCTCTGGACTACCTCAATCTAGATAAAATGAACATCAAGGAGCCAGCCGACACCGAAGTGCTCCAGTACCAGCTTCAACACCTAACCCTCAGAGGGGACCGTGTGTTTGCTAGGAATAACACATGAATGACTTACAGAGAGTGCAGACCAGTCTAGGCCAGCCTGTGCTTGGCGGGAAAAGACCAGTCTAGGCCAGCCTGCGCTTGGCAGGAAACCCACTGTTGTACTCTGTACAGGACTCTTCATGTTACGAATGGTTATATCAGCTCAGCGTTCCTGGAACAGAAAAATTGTTTGGATCAGATTTCAAATGCAGGGATGAAATCACAGGTACTTTGGGGGAAATCATTCTAGAGCACGCAACTGCAAAGAACACAGAATGTTGGCCGTTAGTCTGTATAGCTTTTTAGCTAGGAAAAAAGGCTTCGGGTACAGTAATACCATCTTTATGATTCTGACACTCAAATTGGGAATGTTATATGCTTGGTTGTTGCTGACTTGGTATGATTCATTAGAAATTGATATCCTTAAGTACTCAAGTACTTCTCTAATCTCTGTATTTTACTATAAAATGTATGTAATGATTTGTTTTACGAAATTTAGAACTTGAACATTGCTGAATTGGACCACTTTTTATTTTTAAATATTGAGTTTAAAGATTTTATAACTGGTTTTGCACTGAAAAAATTAACATTTCAGATTGACAAGAGAATAATCTTTCTTCACTTGTCTCAATAATACTATTGAGCAATGAATTTTTTTATTTCCGCATGGAAAGTTATTGATCTCTATGGCTGTAAAATATTTCTTTATAGCATTATTAAAGTGTGTCTTAATACAATTAAATTTGGGATACAAAGTATTTATTTTACAATGGGTGGGGGGAAGCTTTTCCAGAAAGTTTCCAATATGAAGTTTTCATAAGTTAAAAAAGTTTCCTTAGTGCTTACTTTCTAAGTTAAAATTCATCTGGAACTTTAAAATGGAAAGGATTCTTTTAATTGTGGATGATAGGCATAATACTGTTTGCATCTGAATGTTCTGTAAGTGAATGAAACTTTAATAGAAGGACTCATGATTTCTACTATCGAATGCTTAAACTAAGTATGAAGTGATACCATTCAGCATGGCATCGGGTCATTCCAGTTTTAGTTCTGTGCAGCTCAAAGCGCTCATTGAAATTTCAGTTTCTAGGATTAGTGTGGGAGCCTAAAGGGCTTCTACAGTTTTAATGGGTTAATCCTGGATTACTTAACAATTTATGTCAATTGCACTGGTTTAATTTGTTGCTAAAGAAATAATGCCCTGGCTTTAGTAACAAATACAGCTCAACTATTCTTGAATATATTTTGAGGAAAATGTATGTAACTTAACCTTTTGTAAAAGTTTCTATTTTTTTTTTCTTTTTTGACTCTTGAAGGTGCAATTTATTACCGAATTGGCATTTCTGGCAGCATAGAACTGCTTATTTGAAATTTTATTTTGGAGACTGTTTCTTAGGTGTTAGCCATCTTGCTTATAAAATAAGAACACCTTTTACTAATGAGTGGGTCATTCCTGGTGCAGATAATGACTTTTATTTAGCCAGAATGAATGGCTAACTCTATGTAGAGCAGAGTAAGTATTAGAAAACCCTAGGAACTCTTTAAATCAACATTTATTATACTTTCACTGAGGCAAATCATGTGAAAGAGCCTTGGGGAAGTTGACCCATATCTTAAGACTGTGTTGGTCAGATTTCTTGGTGGGCTGGAAATTTTCAGCTGTTGTATATTTTAAAGTAAATTGCACCTTTGTAACATATTGTATTGACGAATGATCACTAAGATTAACTATATCTATACAGTCATTAGTTTGACAAGAAATAGAATCCTGTCAGATGCCAAAGAGTTGGGATTTTTACGTTTAATGATTAAACACCGTTATTTATTGATGATTTACCCTGTGGAACTGTATTATTTCTAACTATGAAATAAAAGGGTGATGTAAACACACATTGTTGTGTGGTGCTTTAAACAAGGTCCATCATCAGCAGGCTAGTTACTGTTCAAGAATTCCACCTAAGGACTTGTTTTTAGGCCCCATTTTTGTAAAAAAAAAAAAAAAATTACTTTTGTAGCTCATCTGTATTTCAGGGTAAAGGATATATTCATGGCAATGGTATGCATTCAGTCCATGAGGAAACACAACTGGGTGCCTGTGACATCTGTCCCTGCTCGTGCACCTAAGTAATTTCTTGAGCTAAATAGAAATATGTAGCTCTTTCATTTTGGTTTTAAAGACAAGTGAACCTCTGTGGCAAAAATGAAGGGGTCGGAAGTTTGAGATATGACATATTTGCAATGATCTGGTTAGTAAAGAGAAATAATTTTCAGTTTGGTTGTAAGTTTTGAAAGTCTAGGTCTGTAGTTTACAGAGTGTGTTTGGAGAGCTCCTTTCGGTCTTGTTTTCTGTGCTCTCCATGATCTTGTGCTCCTAATGTAGGTAGTATCCCATCAAGAAAAAAGGGTAGGCTGGATCACTTTCAGCTGCAGGAAAAAATATCCCATTTTCTGTAGACTTTTCACATGGTTTCTAATTTTGAACTCTTTATCCCCCCCCCCATTTTTATTGAGTTTAGTATTTTATACTAAACAGGGCTCCATTGGCCATAACACAACCTGCCTTTAAACAAATTGCCATCCTATATGGCTTTATTTTTTTTTTTTTCCTTTTTGGAAAAATACCATGTTTTAGAGGCTCAGCTGATGTAGCAGTGGAATTTCACTCTTTGCTCAAATCTGAGGTGAGCTGCTTTTGCGCCTCTGACTTCTACCTGGCTGTGTTTCCACCTCTGTTTCCAGGGCTCCTGTAGTCAGCAGTCAAGGAGGGAAAGACTTTTGGGGGTGGATTAAAATGTAAACTGGTTCAGAACCCCCAGATCTTCCAGACTCCGGCTCAGCTAGGCTACTGTTCCAGGCTATTGCTCCTTATGTAATGCCCGTGTGTGTGTCTTTTTCCTTCCCTAACATAATTATTTAAGTGATTCTAGTATTTGGGATTTGGGAAGCTTTTATAAGATTGTAAGTTAACTTACAAAAGCAAATTGGCCTTTAACTGAACAAAGAATGTTTCTTCAACTCTTGAGAAAAGCATTGGATTTTTACTTATTTTCTCATTCTAACATACTTTTATCTTGGAAAGACTTTTATTTTGTTACAACCGTTGAAAACATTTTAAGGGAACTTTTAAATGACCCTGGCCTAAGTGATTTGTTCTAGGTCAAAGAAAGTGGGAGGAGAGGCTGTCAAGCAGTTTAAAGTGGCATAAATGCTTCGGAAGGGTTGGGGGTGGAGAGAGCAAGGGTGCACGTTCTCATAATGCAGAGGGAACGGTGCGTATTAAGCAAAATTGCCTTTTTAAACAATATAATTTGATGAGGGAAGTGCAAATTGATGAAGATGGCCTTAGAAATAAAATAAATCCGATTATAAAACTAGAAGTGGAGATTGTCCCTGCTTGATGTGCTTTGCTTTTTGTAATATGCTTCTTTAGATAAGAATTATGAAATAGATTCTTTGATCTTTTACATTACAAAAAAAATTAAGGATTTTTCTGGCTGAGGGGAGCACTCCCAGGAACAAATCCAAAGAAGAATGGGGTTTGATATGTTATTTTGAGTTTGCTGAGCCCCTAGGACGTTTTTTTGCTCCTGTTGGGGGAGATGTTGAATTTATATTCTCAGCCATTGTGAAAAGACTTTGTGCAAGGTTTTATCAAATGATTTCAGAGGAAAAGTCGGAAACCGAATCTCTTAATGTTGTTACCCCTGATCTTGGGGTTGTCTTTGATGTACAGATTTATGGGAAAGCACAGGATGAGGTGAATAGAGTTCTTTAAACGGAAAGATGCAGCATCTACTAGAATGAAAGAGAGTAGCTGCACCGTCAGTGGAGTCCTTAAGTGATCCTGGCTGGTGTCGCTTCTGGAACGAAGAGCTTTGATGCTTTTGCTTTTGTGGAAAAGCTATGGGCAAGACAAGGGAACACTGGGTCCGTCATGTTGACCTTTCAGTCTGATTCACCAGGAAGAGTGTTCTTTACCAAACTTTTATATAAAAGGATACATAGCAATATATATCTGGAAGACTTTTGAATTCTCTATCCCTGGCCTAAAGCTTCAGTTAGAAAAGGAACTTAAGCAGTAAGAAGTTTTTGAACTTACTGAAATTGAGATTTTGGCTAAGTGCTTAGAGCTAGGATGGCAAATGCTGAGCATCCATGTCACCATGCTCCTCACCAGTGCATATGGCAGACATCACTAATCCATTAGTGCAGTCTCTCACTCAGTCCAGAGGTGGCCTCGTTATCTTTCCTAACCCAGCGCTTTAGGCAGCTGCTCCTGTATTGATCAGCATTACACAGGAGATAAAACCTGTTTCTTCACCACACCCTCACACCCCCCACACCCCCTATAATAGGTTATACTGTGAACTGGTAAATGGTCTGAATGTTTTTGAGTAGGAGGCTGTTCCAGGTCCTGTCTCCTCACCAGAGACCACAGGAGAACGGCCCATCCCTGTTACCATCACCCACAGGGTGCCCACTGAACATATGCTGGCGCTCTGGTTACAAAAAGGCTTAAGAGAGCTTTCACCTTCAAGGACCTGACTCTTATTGGGAGAGGAGAAGGGTAAGTAAGGTAGCCTAAGATGCACGCCAAGTAAGTGTTGTGTTGAATAAATATCAATTTAAGAAAGAGGAGCTGAAATCCTATGGGACTGAAATCTGAGAAAGAACTATCTTGTTCTCATTCAGTAGCCTGGCCAATTTATTTTGGATATGCACACTTCATTGCTGATCTGTGTGGAAGGTGAAAAAAGAGAAAAAGAAAAAGTCTTCAGAGGGAAGTTTGGGGAAAGCAAAAGCTTAACAAAATAATTGAATCTAAGAAGGATCAGGGCATGGCAACAGTGTTCACTTGGTTATCTCTACCTTTCTCCTTGGTTACTGACCTGCGTCCCAGAGGAGAAGAGGTAAGGTAGAGGATAGTTAACGGAAATAGTGGAATTGGGAGTCAGGGAAGGTGAGAGCTATGAGGGAATAAATAAATGGATATTTTAGTGATTTGTTTTCTCTTGCACTGCC